GGAGGGGGAGGAGAAGGAGGTCTGAACCCAAAACCTAAAAAGAAAAAAAACCCTAAAGAAGATATGTACAACCACATCTGTGGACAGGAGCCATCACATGGCCCACATTACCTCCCAGTGCCACATACTGTACTTTAGTTGTTTTTTTTTTTTGTTTGTTTGTTTTTTTATTCATTTTTTAAATTTCTGTAAACATACAAATAATTCGCACTATATTATCCTGCCAAATTAAAAAAATATACTGTGGCAGCCCGGGGATTTTTTTTCATTATTTTTTTTTTAACTCCACTACCAAAAGAAGGTAAGGTAATACCTTTCGAGAGCACAAGCAACAGTTAAAAATACGAGCCTCAATATAAATACTATAGTGCCTATTCTAAGTGAACATTGAATTCAAATACAATTCTAGAAATACAGAAAAAAGTAGACCATAAATGTGTTTAAGCATAGGAATCGACATGAATGTGCATTTTCCTATATTTTAACTTCTTTATTATATATTCATATATAATCTTAATCCTTTTTCCCCCGAATGCAAATTGTATTTATTTCAAACCTGAAGAGCTGTGAAGAGCCAAGGCAAAAATGAAAAAAAAAAAGAAAAAGAAATACAAAAAAGAAAATCACAGATTTTTTGTCCATTTGTTTGTTTGTTTGTTTTTTTTTTTATCTTTTTTTTCCCTCTAAAACATTTCATTTATATATATTTATATATACTGTGATCGGAGTGTCGAACACCAACGAGACGCTGAGGAAAAGAGAAATGACAGTACAAATTAAACACAGTTTCCCCCTTGATAAAAGTGAAGTGGTATTTGCCAAATAATAGTCAAAGCAGGACTAGAAATAAAAGAATTAAAAAAATTACAACATTTGACTCGTCTGTTGTCCGACGTTCACGGTCTGTACCTTTACCGGGTGGAAAATAGCGACGAAATCAAAAGACAAATTTAAACAAAAATCTGCACCAGATGGCATTTTCTGAAAAACTCAAGTCAAACCTAACAATTTGTCAGCCTTGAGAATTCTCTCAGGGCTGACAAATTGTTGAGAACTAAAATTTTTAGAGCTGTCACTTTTTCTGTCAACGTTATGGCACAAGACACGGGAAAGTTGAAATTCAAAAATGTCTTAAAAATGTTCCTAATACAGCCATTCTTAGACGGACCAATCAAAGAAACAAAGGTAAAGAAGAAAGTTTTTTTTTTTTTCGGGCAGCAGTTTCAACAACACTCTTAATTATTTTTTTTTCGTCATTAGGGAGCAGCGTCGACCTTAATGCCTCTGTGCCTGCGCGATAATGAAGAGCAACACATGCTCATCTGGGCCCATTACATTTAACAGACACTTGTATCCAAAGCGACCTAAAATTTGAGGAAAGGTAGATTACCGTTGACTGAACTGAAAATCGTTTCTGGAGAAAAGTGACAGCTCTAACGGTGTCCGATCATGAAGCGATCAAGTTTCAACCAAAAGTTTCCCTCCTCCGCTTTTAGCGAACACTTGTAAACTGGGGAAGAAGAAGGGGAATAAAACAGTGCACATCGAGTGTGAATTTTTAAGCTAGCTAGTTTTGAGCCTGTGTATCGGCTTGCATCAGTGTGGGACAATAAAAGAGAGGTGACAAGTGCTTTGTTATAAACGAGTTATAAATGAGTCGCATCGTGGAAAAAAAAGAAAAGAAGGAAAATCCCATTCTTCTGGGTTCAAACAGTAAACAATAACATGCCCTGCGTTAGCCTTAGCATTCTGATTTCTAATAATCGCATTGTCGCTCTTTTCAAGAGCCCTGGAGTGTGTATATATTTTCATTTTTATTTCTTTCTCTGCAGTTCATATTTATAAATGACCCTGTCGTGATTCTAGCCATGGAAGTGAAGGGGCCGATGGCCGTCGTGTGAACGTAGCTTCAGTTCTGTGTAACGTTCTGTCCCTCCGTCGGTCTTTATGCTCACAAACGACATCCGGAGCTTATATGCTTCTATTCCACACACTGACAAATGAGAGCAGCGTCGTAGGTTTGTGCTAACGCAGATACAGACACGACACTTCCTCCTCGCCGTGCGTCCGTATCCCTCAGAATCAGGATTGTACATTACAGATTTACTTTTTTTTTTTTTTAAATCTCAAGCGTATCTCCTTTTACCGGAAAAACAAAACTACAAATAATTCAGATATACACAATACTGCTTGTACCATGCTTGCCATGAAATCCACACATTATTATCATTATCATTATCATTATTAAAGATAGCCTATTGAACACAGAATAGGTAGCTAAATGATGATTACCCAGAACTCTCTGATCTTTCATCATGAGTCACAACAGCCCGGTGGAAAAGTCAGGCGCTTGATGCAAGAACCTTCGCTGGTTGGGTGGGTGGCTTAAGGTTTTGTTTTTGTTTTGTTTTTTGCTTTATCCAGCACGAACCTGAAAGTGTCACCAAATAGTATAATGGCCAATGTCGTCATGAAAAATTGAAGGGCTTTCCTTTTTTTTCCCCCCACCAATAATAATACGAATTTCTAGCTCACCCATGTTTTAGTCTTTTAGTCTTTTTGAAAGAAATTTGAAGGCTGTCAGTAAATTCAGTGGAGTCGTCAAGCTCAGGCTTGATTCTCTTTCTTTTGAACCCTGTGTGAACGTGGTGTCTTTTAAAAAGATCAGGACATAAGTGCATTTTTCCAGGGTTGTACGAAGAGGGCAAAGACCGTTCGCCTTCCATGTTACAAAACCAAACTGTACATGATATGTGTTACAGAATGTATGCAGCATGGACGTGTCTTTCCTTGTCTTATTTCTTTTTTAAGAATAAAAAGAAAGGAACATAAAATTGGAACCAGAGAAAAAACAGCAACACATTTACTCAACAAGTAATCAACCAGGGACAAGTTCTTTTCTCTTTTTTTTTCTTGATTAGCAAAAAACGTATTATGCATGCTGACTAAGTCTTAAAAATGGAAAACGGAAAAACTTAAAAAAAGAAATTTTACACAACATGTAAATTATTGCACAAGAGAAAGGCTCAAAGATTTGCGTCAATGCAAGAGTATTGCCCCGATACAGATCATGCATTCAATGTGTAATGGAGACAAGGGTGTGCTGGTGCAGAGCACAGGGTCTTGAGCTTCCACCAGACTGGTGATAATGGAGTGTTGGGGTTTGGGGCAAATCTACAAGGACATGGCAATAAACAGGGGACTAATGGCGGACATAGCTGTAAGGGGGTGTGGGGGGGGGAAGGTCCCATAGTTCGGCCTTCTACTCGGACTTAATTTCGGTACTCAAAGGACGGTCACTGTGCCATTTTTTCATGTGTTTCTCCAAGGTGCTGTAGACACTGAAGGGCATCTGACAAACCTCACACTTGTACACGTCTTTGCCCACCTGTCCGTGGGTCTTCATATGGCGTGTCAGTTTGGAACTCTGTGCACAAGCATAATTGCACAGCTCACACTTGTAGGGTCTCTCTCCTGTGTGGCTGCGTCGGTGCACCGTCAGGTTACTGCAGTTCTTGAACACCTTGCCACAGTACTCACAAGTGTCACACCTGCGGCTGTCCTTGGAGCTGGGCCGCCCATGACCCCCCAGGTGTGGAGTGCTGCCCCCACTGCCTGTGCCGCTGCGACCTGAAATCCCACCATCCAGTTCCCCAGGGGGGGTGGAGAAACGCAGACTGCCATTCTCCGAAGAGTGCTCCGACGACGAGGTGAACGGCGATTGTCTGGAATCCCCAAAGTTCAGAAAAGGGTCCTTGAGTTGTCGAGAGGCGGCGTATCCAGCCAGCCACTGGGAGTACACGTTCTCCGTGTTTGGGATTGTGGGAGTTGGCAGGTCGAACTCCTTCTCCAGCTTGATGCGTTTAGAGAAAGGGCTGAGTGGACTGGGGCTGCCCAGAAGCAGTTTCTTAGAGAGGCCAACGGAAGCTGATTCATTGGGTGATGCTCCTCGACCATTGACTGCTGAGACGGAGCCCTCCTCCCCACGATCTGTTTCCAGTACAGAGTCTCCGTCACACATGTTACGATTGTGGTGGTGCTCTCGGTTGAGGTGGTGGTGCAGGTGGTTCTCCTGGGCCATGGCGTTGCGTTTGTGCGCGTTAAGAGCTTCACTGAAGTGCTGCATGCTAGCAGCCAAACCCATTCCCTGCATAACCTCAGGTAATGATCGGGGTAATGACCCCTCATCAGTCAGACCACCCAGTCGACTTCCGATACCGACATTGTTTTCATGTTGACGTGTCGTTTCTAGGTTTAAACCAAAATGGAAGCTGTTGTTTCTCCTGGGTTGTCTCTCACCATTCGGATCCTCTTCTTCCTCTACTTCCTCTTCTTCCTCCTCCTCCTCTTCCTCCTCTTCTTCCTCTTCCTCCTCTTCTTCCTCCTCCTCCCCCTCACCATTTTCACGGAGAATACGGTTATTCTCATTTTTAAGCTTGGCCACCACTGACTTCAGGGCGTTGCTGGCACTTCCCAAGTGCTCACTTGTGCCGGGCTCCGGGGAGGAGGCCGTTGAAAGCCCGTCTTCTGACTTGCTCGCGTTAGGAGAGGATGATTTGTGCATGTGTGTCTTCATGTGGCGCTTCAACTTACTGGCCTGTGAACATGCGTGATCGCACAGGTGACACTTGTACGGCTTTTCTCCAGTGTGGCTTCGCCGGTGGACTATGAGATTACTTTGAAATTTGAAGGCCTTGCCACAGAACTCGCAACACTTTGATTTCAAGGGAGTGGTGGAAGTGGGCGTGGCCTCTGCTGATTGAAGAGGGGTAGTGGGAGTGGTCTGAGAGCCCACAGGTGACTGCAGGGAGCCTGGAAGAGGCGGCGGTGTTGCAAGATATGGTGGTTTGCTTCCCCCTGCTCCGACTGATCCTCCACTTCCTCCTCCCGTCTGGAATGGCTGGAGCAGGCGCTGCATGGGGCTGGGCCGGCTGGGTGACAGTGGAGGGGTGGACCCTGAGGCGTTCCCCGCCAGCTCTCGAAGCCGCCGTGAGAAGTCCATTGTTGGAGGAGGGTCCAGGGGCATTGGAGGATTGAGGCGCAGCACCCTGTCAAAGGCACTCGGGTGGTGGGCTGCCAACGCCAGCTCCTCTGGGCTCAAGTGATGTGGTTCCAGGTGGTTTCTGGGCGGCGGGCTGAAGAGAGGCGGCGTAGGGGGAAAACGCTGATGATGGACCGGAGCAGTTGTGGGAACTGCCCCAATTCCACCCAGAGCTCCAACGCTGTCCCGTCCACCTGAACCTGAGCCAGGGATGCGGAGGAGGTTGAAGGGGCTGGCATCTGGAGGCAGGTGTAGACCATGAAGTGGAGGTTGAGAAGGGCAGTCTGCACCTCCGCCCAGGGAGGATGGTCCACCCATGCGTGGGGTAAGAGGGCTGCCATGTTCACTTTCCAAGTAGATGCGGAACCCGTGGGTATTTTGTGCGTGCTGCAGCAGGAACCAAGCACTGCCGTAGGACTGCTTGCATGTAGTGCAGGTGTAGGTCGTCGGCTCCTCCTTACCTGTAGATACAGAGAGGAGAAAAAGAAAAGTTTTAGCTGAAAGACTTTAAATTCAACACTTGGTTTTAGAAGTGATTCACCGTAAACGGTGGTGCACACTGATCTGATGGAGTTCACAAGAGGGACCACAGTCCTAAACCCATATAATCCTTCTTTTATTTCAACCTGAGGCCTCGAACTCTTTTAGCGCTTTTAAAAGAAAGTGGTCAGCACATGATGTTGTGGCCTTGGTTAGTACAACAGTAGCTCTTATTGAGGTCATGGCCCACATGAGCAGCATGTGAGGAGTAGTGTGTACACATTTGTTCTTCTCACAGACTTGCTCTGGGACATTTTAATTTACTTCCTTTGGACAAGTTATTTAACAAGTTTATATTAAAATATATGTATATTTTCCCCAAACAAAGAACGCAGTGAACACACGCTCCAAGTTCTAGAATCCTCTTTGTCTCTTCTCTGCATAAATTTAAGATTTATTTTCCATATTAAGCCCTTGCTCATCAGGAAGAGTTCATCTACATCCAAATTCACCTTCAAATAATTCACACCTTTCCACCATTGTTGTGTGAACTAAATACTCCTCCTTTGATGAAGAACACCGTGTGGTGATTCAGTAGGTGGAACCTTCTGTCAAAGATAATTTAGAAACTGCCAGAAAAAAAGAAGAAGTGGAAAACAGGAATGTTTATTCATGCACAGTGAGTTCTCCAGTTCTCACCCTCAGGTGTACGGTTCATTATCCTTCACCTGACATATTCCCCACCTTCACTGCATACACACCAAGAAGTGAAACGCCGGCCACGCTGACCCGTGAGTGGACGCAGGAAGTGAGTGCAGTCGTGTTCGGGGAGCAAATCTAAGGGCCATGGGCTCAGCGAGGTTTTCTGCAGCGAGTGTGGGGGCGACAGAGTCTGACAAAGCTGAGACGCACATTAACACACTGACACACAAACGCAGTGACAGCCAGTGTGACAGGAATATACCTGTCTCTTATGAGACTGGCAGCACAGGCTGGAATAATATATAGAAAACTGAGGTCAAAAGTTTAGGCCTCAGTATGTTTCCTCCGTATGTGAAACAAGTTTGGAGTATTAAGTAGGAAAATAATAATAATAATAATAATAATGAAAGCTACTTAATTTGGCAACAAGAGAGAGAAAAAAAGGTGTATATATATATCCGTCTTGAATTACTTTTCTATTGTGTGTGTGTGTGTGCTGTGCCCGTTTGTTTCACACACACACACAGACCTTTGCACAAACATACACACACACACGTTGCCATGACCCGCCGGGGGTTTAATTATTTATTCATCTTCGTTTCTCCGGTTGCCACGGGCAACGGCGGAACACTGACAGCACTTAAAGCAATAAATAAAAAACAGAAGCAGTATTTCTTATTTTAGTCTCGAGTCGTCCTCGTATGTTTGTTTGCCAGTCTGGTGCAGCATTTCCACCAGCTCTAAATAAAACCGCCTGTTTTCCAAGCTGAGGTTTTAAAAAAATGCATTTCTCACTGAGACCTCAGATAAATGCTGCCTGTGAGAAGAAACGACAAAAACGTATCTTCAACACATGATGGTCAACAATTTATATGAATTTCTACGTTTTTGTCAGGCAGACTGTTTGACTTCCCATAAAGAAATGAAATGCATTGAATTTAAATGTTCATGAATTCCTCTTCAAAATGCGTAAGGAATAGATAATTACAGGGGATAGAGGACGAGGGAAAATGTTATCCAAAAAAATTCTTTTGTCGTCCTGTTAACCGTTCTGTGTCGAGTGGTTCTGATTTGGTGACGTTTTTTAAGTCTGACATTCTCCAGAAATGAATTATGGGATGTGGTAGCAAAAGGCTTTCTGTGTGACTTTGGTTCAATTTGAGCTGCCATATTTGGTGTTCGTTGGTCCAATCAGACGTTGGTTAAGTCCAAACAGCTCTAAGACCACTGGACTGTGTTCAGTTCCAATTAGCACCAACAGTCTTTATTCACTGTGACGGCTGACCCAGATATAATCACATTACACCGAGGGGTGTTGACTCAAATTAGATCCAAAACATCTTTTTAACAGTTGAAGCAGCGAGCTAACCATTTGAGCCAACACCAGCACCGGGCCCAGCCCTGGAACTCTTCACACTAACACACTCCCTTTTGACTCGCAGCTCAGACTTGTCTGCACGCTGATTGGAACTGTAAGGTTAATGGATTTTAGAGTAGGCGACCGCTCCACTCTGTCTCTGTGTAATATACTCCCATCAGCCACTTCATTAGGCAAACTCTCCGGCACTCGGAGGTGGAGAAGAATTAAGTCAGAACGCCGTGTTGAGAACTGAAGATTAGCACAAAGATAAAAGAGTTTCAGGTGGAAATGCTGAGGAAAGAAAACAAGGATGAGACGGCTCTTAGTTTACTGACAAACACTGTCCCTGCTGCACCAAACATCAGCTGGGAACACACACACACACACACAGACACACACACCTCCAGAAACACCAAGTGTTATCAAACCAGGGTCATGGACTGGACACTTTTGTGCAGCTAAATGGAAGATGGAAACAAAAAAAGATGTGTGTGTGTGTGTAGTTCTATATGTCAGATTTAAAAGGATTTAGTGCCACTTAACAACCACTCAAACTCTAACAAGATTTTATGGCAGGGGCGAGTTGTAAACGCTCGGCTCTTTGAGTGTCAGACTGACTTTAACAGGTAAATGTGTAGCAAAAAAATGGTAAAATTAATCAGATTAGTGTGAATGCATTCACAATATTGCCGTTCAGCCACTTATCATCGCTGTCAGACACAATCAATACCCATGCTGGTATTTACACACACTGTGGGGAGAAAAAAAAACCTTTCAGTTTCATCCAAATACCATCTCAAACTCAGTTCATGACCCGGTCCCTAAAACACAGCTGCTACAGAAGAAGAAGAAGAAGAAGAAGAAGAGTTCAGTCTGGTCACTGACTGAGACTAACTTCAGACTAGTTAGAACAGCGTCCTCGCCGTTGAATCTCGTCTTCACTCAGTCCTCGAGTTTCTACAAGGACACATTAGGGGTCTTCAAGTAGCTGTTATCGACTGCGCGTGGAACTGCTACATGCATCAGGGTGACCACACATCTGGTGTGTGTTCTTTTAATAGAGTAAGACTTCATTTAAGGTGACAGCCCATAAATCTCTCCCAACATTTCCATTTTCAGAAATCAATTTTGAATCCACCTCAGACAGTGTCAGCCTGCGGAACGGCCTGATCTTCAAGTGCATCAGTCTGTCTTGTAAATTAGCTGGACCGCCTCCACCACATCCTTCTCCTACCAGCTGGGAACAACAAGCCCTGCCAGCCTCTGGCTACCAGGCAAGGGCAGCGCGGGTGCTGTGTGTTCTCACATGAAGTCGGAGCCTCGCTCTAATCTTCCATGTTTCTCCTTTTATTGTCTTTTCTCTTGAGCCACTCTCTCCCTGCAGTACTACTACTTCCTTCCTGTTACTCTGCTGCTTCTCCCTCGGTATGCCACCTTTTCTCCTTCCACCCTACTTTCTAGGTAAAACGTAGGATTTTCCTCCACAGCCACGCCTCCTCACCTCTTCCTCCACCCAGCCCCCCCACCCTCTCTCTCTCTCTCTCTCTCTCTCTCTCTCTCTCTCTCTCGTTTCCACCCATCCGTGGCTCTCCGACAGTGTCCTTGGCTGGGTCCACCTCTGGGTGAGATGATAGTAATTGAGGTAATGGAACATCGCTGAAACAGGATTAGGTAGGCATACTGGGAGTGAGAGACAATGTCCCTTAATACAATTTGGGATTTCTACCGGAGCCTCGGGCTTTCCGGACCTGCTGCTTATATTTACATCTGGGCATCACCGCTCACCCCTGATCACCTCCTGTTTTACCTTAAAGGGATATTTGGCCGCTTCACCGGAGTTTCACTCCACGCTATTTTTAACCTTTTCGCCGGGCCTTTGTTTTATCATCAGGAGGAATATGTGCCTTCATTGTCCTGGAACTGCAGTAAAACAAGCCGCGTATGCAAAGAAAAGAACAAATGAGGGAGAAAAAATATATATTTTCAGTAGCCAGCGATTCCTGTGCATTATCCTGACGACTGACCTCGGAATTGACCAAATGATAACGGCTGTGGATTTGGGTAAATGAGGCCGCAAAACATCACAGACTACAGGGTCGAACGACGAAGGTGTGGAATGAGATTTTTTTCTATTTCTGAGACCAAAGACGGATTAAAGCAGAGCGAGGTTGGATAATTAGACATGTGGTCGTAACACACACAACCAGATTAAAACAGCTGTGACGACATCAGAGTGACTGCAAAAAGATGATACAGAAAACGGAAGCCTAGATTGAGATTAAACCAGATTAGACCAAACAAGATACGGTTAGATGAGACGAGTCAAGACTAGATGACACGGGATAAGAAGGAATTTTATGTGAAAAAGGAGATTTTGTAACAACATGACGTGTTGAGTCAACATGATGTGGCATTAAATCAGAGACGATGACGTGAGGTGAAACCAAAAGCAGTCAAACAGGATCAGACGTCTTTAAATGATAGATTTTTCTAACGTATTTATTTTTGATTTTGTGGAACATGTGTCACACGTTTGTGGAAACACAGTGAGGCCATTGTGTGACGGTTCAGTTCAGCTCATATCTGCTCGGCTCGTTCGGCCTCATCTCAGCGACACACTCACATCTCATGACTGTGTGTTTGTGCAGTAACTGATACACAGCCCCAGGAGCAGGAACTAACCATACCAGAGCAAATGACTTTAAAATGCTTTTCTGCAGGACATTATTGACTCTGCTGTCACAGAGCAGCCGCTGCA